GTGCCTGAAATAAATAAGCCCCCTGGGGGTTTAAATAGAGTATTTATGGTAAAAACGCATGGCTGTATCAGATGCTTAGCCGACTGATAAGTTGTTCATCATTGTATTCTGCAAAGAAATGCCAGATCGTGAGCAGATGAGCAGTGCTGTTACGGTCTCATTTCAGGCATTGTCTTTTTCCGTATCACGCCATTCTTTGCAGGATTATATAATAATTGTATGTATCTGTCTATCTCCAGTGTCATCTTCAGCGGCATCCAGACTGTAAGACCCTGAAGCAGTGGAAAGGAGGACCTGTCAAAATAGATCCTTTGGCATTAGTGCAGGTAATGATGGTATAATAGCCATTAATAAAATTAATGCATAGAGATTGTCATCACGTGTAAATAATAATTATATTTGTCTATCCCTGAAATAACCTGCTGTTCTAATTCAGGGATGGATAACTGTGTTGGCAATGGTGATAATGGTTTTGATTATATATACAGGGTTTGTCATTCTGTTTATTTCTTGTCTTTTGACATATATATATAGAGGATATTACACAGTAGTGTGAAGATATGACATACTTTATCTTTGGTGAAATAATATTCAACACCACAAGATAAACTTCTATTATATCTTCAAGTCAACGTGGATGTAGTTTGTATAAGAAACACAAGTGGCGTAATTCCCAAGTAAAACACTAGTACATAATAAAATACATTACCATACTAAGCTAATGCAACTGTTCTTGTTTCTTCTTATCAGGCTGTAGAACGGTATCTTGTGGTAAGAGGATATGGAAAACTGAAGGAAGTAAGTGTTAAGTTCACTGACACAGATATACAAACATAAATACACATTATTCAGACTTGCTAGAGATGCTCCATGAGCCTCAAAGTGTAATGATATGTCCTAGAACTTTGATGTGATTTTTTCCACTGTACCAATCCATTTATCAGTACTGTTTATATTATAGGCTATTGACGATTTAGATGGGAGTGAAGATGATGGGTATGTTATACAGTACCATATCATCATATTATCTACCCTGGTAACAGTCTTTTGTATTCATCATATTATTGTTGTTTATTTTCAGATCTGATGATGAAATTGATGAATCTCTGGTAAGTTCATACATGGAAATGTGTTGTAACTGTAAGGGTCCACAGTAGGCTTGGCAGGACCTGGGATTGGCTTTAGTTTGAATGCAGTATTTGAGATGCGAACTATAAAAAACTGAGCAAGAAGTGAGATTGCATGTTTTTGAGGTTCCCGGATTTACAGTTCACTTTGTGAATTCATAAAATTGACTCTTTCATTTGTCTCTGGGTTACAATTCACTTTGTGAATTCATAAAATTGACTCTTTCATTTGTCTCT